TGGGAGCTTCTTTACATCCTACAAAGGATTAAGCCTCGCACATTTGAAGAGCTTGTTACTCGAGCCCACGACATGGAGCTTAGCATGAAAAATCATGGTGCTAGAGAAGATGTTCCTGATATATTCGACAACCTTCAAGAAGATGAGAGAAGTGAGTTTAAAAAAGAAGACAATAGACTTCCTAACTCGGATGACGAAATAGCTTCATCTTTCATTATAAGCATCATCTCGAAAGACTTGCATCAAGAAACGCACCATGCTACAATAATGATTTCAACCGAAAGTGCAAAATCACAAGGGGCATTAAGTCAAGGAAACCAAGAAAAAAAATCCTTAAAGTGACGACGAGATAGTCCGTGCCCTCCACTATAAGCTTGAATTGTCGTCTGATTCTTGCAAAGTTGAAGAATAATCAATGTTGAAGTGTTCCCAGATACGAGCCTAAATTGTCGATGACACTCCTTGATACGAGTTAAAACTATCTACCTGAAAAAAAAATCAAAAACTCTTTGATACGAGTTTAAACTGTTTACTTAAAGAAGAAAAAAAAAATCAAGAACTTTTTGATACAAATATAAACTGTTTGGGCAAAAAAAAAAAAAAAAAAAAAAAAAAAAAAAAAAAAAAAAAAAGAGAACTCTTTGACACGAGTATAAACTTTTTCGGGAAAAAAATTTAACTACGTGATGACTTGATCCCTGTTCAGGGTACGTAGGCCTCTTGGAGGCCTGTTCCAAGTTCAGTCAAAAAAAAAAAAAAAAAACACTCCTTAAAGTTGCAAAATGGCAAAGTGTGCTTGTCACGAGATATCAAAAGGATTACTCGTAATTAATCAACTTGGCTTACTGTCAAAATATTGTTGTCGCTGGTCACAAATTTTCAACTTGGCTCGCTATCAAGATGTTGTCACTCATCATGTGATATTAAAAGTGTTCATCGTACCTGTCAACTTGGCACGCCACCAAAGTATAGCTACAAAGAAAATTTTGGTCTGTCGCCAAATTATAGCTGCAAAGAAGAAATTTGGCCCACCGCCAACGTGTAACTGCAAAGAAGAATTTTGGTCTATTGCCATAGTTGTAGCTACAAAAGAAATTTTGATCCGGCAAAGCGTAACTGCGAAGAAATAAATTGGTTCGTCGCCAGACCGTAGCTGCCTAGAAAAATTCTGCTCACCGCTGAGGTATTCCTGAAAAGATTTTTTTTTTTTCCCCGTTGAGGTGTCGTTGAAGAAAAAAAATTCTGCTCGTCGCCGATTAATTGCTGAAAGGGAAATTTGGTTTTCCGTTGAGGTATCGTTGAAGAAAAAAATTTTGCTTACTGCCGAGGTATTGCTGAAAGGAAGAAGTGGTTTTGCATGTCCAATGAAGTAGATAATTTAATATCAAGTCCAATGGATTCTTCATTAATATGATCAAAACCGAAGTTGGTGAAGTCGCAAGTACCTTTGCATGTTCAATAAAGTGGATAATTTAATATCAAGTCCAATAGATTCTTCATTAATTTGATCAAGACCAAAGTTGGTAAGTTCGCATGTAACCTTGCGTGTCCAATGAGATGAACAATGTTCATTGTTAGGATCAGGTAATTGAATGCGTGTCCAAAGAGATGAATAATGTTCATTGTCAGGATTAGACATTTGAATGGTATTGCGACCGAGAAGTGAGTCAGATACATTTAATGTGATTCCTTGGCCTCTTCGACTATTTTCGCTCTCTAAAATAGTCATCTTTTACTTTATAAAACACTTGAATACTACCATGATGGAACAATAAACAAATTTTGAAGCTCGATCGGTATTGTCTAAAAGGAAGATTTCAATTTCTGCTACAATTGACAAAATTCTTATTAGTGCGTTTGGAAAAGTACTTTCAAATTCTGGAAAAAATATATGTTAGTTCAAGAAAGAAAAAAAATAAGTTCATAAAAAAAAAAAAAAAAAACAAAACAAAACAAAAAGTTAAAAGAGGTGAAAAAAGAGAAAGAAAAAGAAAACAGCGTGACAAAAAAAAAAAAAAGAAGAAGAAGAAGAAGAAGAAGAGAGCGATTGAAAAAAAAAAAAAAAACTCGCCAATCTGCTTGCTGCCAAGTCTCGCCCGCCTCTTGTTGCAAAGGAAATTATTTAACTCGTCCCAAAGTGCAAAGAAATTTCTCTTTTATTCACATAGCAGTGTTGTATCAAGCCATTAAAGTGGATGAGTTTTCTTTCTTGTTTTGCGATATAGACATATGGTGATTATGAATTACAGTCCGTTGAACCTGTTGTACTTTATATTCTTATATGAATATAGAAACTATCATGTGAGAAAGATGACTGAGGAAAAAGACGAAACAATGGAAATCATCTAATATTTATATATATTATGCTGAATTCTGGAGATTTGGAATTGATGCCGCACATTAAGGCACGAGTCATGTTTATATAGCTAAAGATGGAGGAGTTGATCATATTCCTAATAGGATTTTGGTTGCTTGGAAGGAAAGAATTTCTTTGTATGTTTTGACAAGGAAATAAAGAAATTATTTCACGAAAAGGGCACTTCCTTTTTTTTTTTAAGAAGGAAAAAAAATAAAAAATTTGAGAACTTCAAGTTCCACTTAGAATAGGAGACAAGTCCGATTAAACGCGAGACTTGAAGTGGGGGCAATTTGTAGACACTAAAATTTGATGGTTTTTTTCCTTTGCAAGTTGACCTATCAAATATGGGTTTAATGTTTAATTAAGTTATTTAATTGGCCCAAATTTAGTACACTTAAATTATTTAATTAGCCCAACCCCAAATGATTAAATAAAAAGATAATTATTTCTAATAAAATATATTTGAAATAATTATTTTTATAGATAATTATCATAATATAGTCGGCCCGGCCCAATTATGATTTTGTCCTTATCAGAAGAGGGCACGTGTCATCATCCTATTAATCCAAAAAGCCTATAAATATAGGCATAGAGGAAGAAGGAGAGGATACACAAATTCAAAAAATCCAAGGGTCCAGAAATTGAGAGACTCAGAAATCTAGAGGTCTAGAAATCCCAAAAAGAAATACAAACCTGAAGACGAATAACAATAAGCACATCAAATCGTGTCATTCTTCATTAACATTGCACGATGATCAACAACAAGCACATCCAAAGCCGTATCGTTTTTCACCAAATTCAACAAATTTTCTCATCTCTAAAGACGAAAAACAATTAGCACATTCAAAGTCGTGCCGTTCTTCTTCAAATTCAATAAAGAATAACAAGCATATCAAAATTGTGCCGTTCTTTCCCTGTGATTTAACAAATTTGAAGAATCTTTTTTTTTTTTAGTTGGTACTCACACACACATGCCTCCACTGAGACTTGAACCCTTGACCTCCCTTTGGGAAGTAAGGGCTAATACCGTTAGGCCACTTGCCCATTGGTAATTTGAAGAATTATCAAACAACACTGTTCGAGATTAAGCTCCTTCAGTCCTCGATCAGAAATCATCGACGATCGAAATCAATCTCCAACAATCCTTGAATCCAACCAACAAAGGAGATTGAATCAGAGGATAAGTTCTTTCTTTTGTAAAAATACCTCAAAGGATTGTACCCAATTTTCATAAATTAATAAAATTATATTTGCTCCCTATTTTGTTTTTTATTTGCGGACTACAAAATTTGTGTGTACAATTATATTTAAAATAAATCTGATAGGAGTATTGTATAAATAAAATATAAATATTATTATTATATATAAATTTAATTGGATTCGATTAGCATAAATTCATATTTGATTTCAGATCATAATCAAATTATTAAATTTTTTGTTCAATCAAATTCAAATACTAATTTACTATTCAAATACGAAGGGACAAAGTGAATGGGCGTAACGGGTGGGCGCTTGTCCATTTATTCAAAAGCTTAACCTGTTAGGTAATGATGCATACCACCCATTTATATTCAATCACTTTCTCATCGCCTTCATTGTACTTAGACCACCCTGCCTACCAGGGGTGAAAACCCAGACGCCTTTCGGGCTGAGAGTTTGGAGTGACATCGGATCAAAGGACTGGGTCTAGCTTGATACCAACTATAATGGGTACGCGTTTACCCATTTACCCAAAAACTTAAACTATTATGCTACGTTTGGTGTGCAGGAATGGAATGGAATGTCCATTCCAACCATTCTTTTATTTGGTATACTACTTAAAGTTGGAATGACCATTCCATTGGAATGAAAATTCATTCCACAATTGAACCTATGGAATGGTCATTCCATTCCCAAGTAATTTATTTTAAAAAATTGACTTCCTAAAACACCCTCATATTCCAAGTCTAAAAACCACTATTACCTTCTATCACAATCATCTCCGCCTTTCACCACCACCACCACTACCACTGCCTTCCAACACCACCAACTTTCACCATCGCCCACCACTTTCCACCACCACCGCCACCGCCTTTCACTACCGCTACCGCCACCGTTTGCCACAACCACCACCACCGCCTTTCACTACCGCTACTGCCACCATCTTCCACCACCACCTTTCACCACCGCTACTGCCACCATCTTCCACCACAACCACTGCCATTGCCTTTCACCACCACGGCCGCCATCGCCTTTCACCACTGCCACCAACTTCTACCACCACCACTGCTACCGCCTTTCACTACCTTTCACCACCTACATTACTACCGCTTTCCACCATCCACCATCCACGACCGCCACTACCACCATTTATTTTTTAAAAATTATTAGAGAATATCATTTTGTTAATTTAATTTAATTTATTTGTTACTAAGAGGGATATTTTGGAGAATTCAATTAGAAATTTATTCCATTTTAAATTTTAAATTGGTCCAACCAAACACTAGAATGGTTATTATCATTTAATTCCTACACATTTCATATTTAGAACCAAACAATAAAATGAGAATGACCATTTCATTTCATTCCCACTTGCATTCCATTCCATTCCTGCACATCAAACGTAGCATTAGGTAATGCTGTATAAATAATGCATAATCCTCGAGTCCATCGTATCCTCTCTCAGAAGTAGGTTTTTTCGTAATTTAACCCGACTCCGAAGGCCTACCTTTCTCTGCTCCACGCATTTGATTTGACTCTCATCGATTGATTTTTTATTTTTATTTTTTCTAATTATACACATCGAATTTGCAGATGCTTAGAATCAGAGTCACAGAGTGCTCATTTTCCCGTGAATAATCTCCGCAAAATACCGAATTTTAGTTTCTGTACTATCGAATCCAATTTTTTTTTTTTTTTTGCCCTTTTTGATCGATGCAACTTTCGTCTCATTTGGTAAAAAGTTCCAATCAGCAACTCATCATACTAGTTTAGGGATAAATTCAGAGATAATATTGTATAGGGTTTGCGATCATTCGAGTGCTTTGATAGGAATTGGTATTAGGGTTTTGGTTTTGTTCGAAATCTGGTTGCGATCGGTGACATGAAGATCGAAGAGTTGGACGAGGTTGAATCTGACGGCAAATACGATCAAGACCGTGTTGGAGAAAGACAGATTGTTCGGGTCGACGCGAAGAGAGCATTGGTCGGGGCGGGAGCTCGGATTCTTTTCTACCCGACCCTTCTGTACAATGTTTTTCGGAACAAGATTCAAGCTGAGTTCAGATGGTGGGACGAAGTTGATCAGGTCGAGTTCTATTTTCTGTCATATATGTGTGCATGTGTGTATATATATGTATCTGTATATGTGTGTTCATGTATCGTTGAAGGTTCGATTAATTATAATTACTTCTTTGTTGCTTTTTTTTTGGTTTTCATTGGTTAATGTAGTCAATCTAATCGTTTATGCAATCGGTTTTGTTTTTCGAAGTGTTGTAAGAGGAAATATATTGAAATTCTTTGTCCTTGACTACGGTTTTTTTTCCTTTGTACCTAATTCTTGTTTTGGTTATTAAGAAAATGTAGGAAAATAGAAGAAGATCAGTTTGCATGGAATAAATTATTCTATACCTTTCCTTTATCATTACAATTCAGACAGACAAATTGAGTAGCCCAAATCACATTGCATAGAAATATCATTATTTGATTCATCTAAGTTCATGTAATATTGTAGTATTGTTAACTTATCAAAAATAAATAAAAATATTTTAGTATTCTTAAATTTTCTTAATGATTTTGTTCAATTATGAAGAAAAATGGAAACATTGTCTCTGTATGGTTATGAATTCAGTTGTTGATTGAGAATATAGTATCCTTCACTTAGCTTTGACCAACACAAACCATCTCGGTTTACTTTCTTTTCAATAGTTTTCGTGATAGTCAAATAAAGAGTAAGTTAGCTGAAGTCTGAATAAGTAATTTTGTTTGAATGGTTTTTTATCTTGCTTTCAGTTTGTTCTGTTGGGGGCGGTCCCATTTCCTAAGGATGTTCCTCAGTTGAAGCAGCTTGGTGTTGGTGGTGTCATCACCCTTAATGAGTCCTATGAAACTCTGGTTCCAACATCGTTGTACCATGTGAGTGGTTTCTGCATATTATATACTTGTTTTATGATTTTTAGCTTAATAAGGGTAACAAAATAGATAGATGGTGGCTTCTTTACTCATGAACAAAAGCTTCGTCTTTTTTTCCCTACCTTCTGTGGTTGAGTATTTGAATTCATGGTGTCAAGAATCACTACTAAAACTTTAATTTAATAAAACACGTAGACACTTTGGGACAACTAATTCTAACGTATTAATATTCTCACTATTCAGATTCTTGATCTTAGATTCACCTCATCCTTGTCTTATCATTTCAGGCCCATGGGATAGACCACCTGGTTATTCCAACCAGAGATTATCTATTTGCTCCTTCATTTGTGGATATAAACCGAGCTGTAGATTTCATTCACAGTGAGTGAATCTTCTTCCACCTCATCTGAACTATTGTTATGTTCATAGCTACACTTTCCTTTTGTTGATTCGCAATTTCCTCATTCTTTTCTTTACCTTTTTTGGGTACAGAGAATGCATGCTGTGGTAGGACCACATATGTTCACTGTAAAGCTGGGAGGGGAAGGAGCACAACCATTGTGCTTTGCTATTTGGTAATGTTTTCCCTACATAGAAAACTTGTTTTAACTGCTTTTGGCTCATTTGGAAATTGTTGATTGAGTTGATGTTTTCACATCATGCAGGTGGAGTATAAGCACATGACTCCTGCAGCTGCCCTGGAATATGTGAGGTCTAGAAGACCTCGAGTGCTCTTGGCTCCTTCTCAGAGGAAGGTAAGTAATAATAAAGTTTACTTAATTTTTCTGAAAATGAAAGGTTGCTATAATACTATATCCGTATAGTTGGTATTAAATGTTCACTTTCCTTTAATTGTGCAAGTGTGAATGAAGGTGAGAAGGGTGCTGAAATTGCAGTCATTTCCCTTCCATGACATATTGTGTTCTGGTCTTGTGGGGCTGAGAAGCATTTGTCTCACTAATTTTATTGCCAAACATTAGAAGAACCTCCAATCCCTTAATCCCATGTTTTGACCCTTAAATTATGTGAACAGAATATTCGTAATCTTGGTTAATATGAAAAGAAAAATATTCAAGTTTTTTCTTCCTTGGTTTTTTCATTTGAATCTTTGTGAATGATCCCTTTATTTCACGGAACAAGATGGGAATATTTAAAGCTTTTGTGATTAACAATGTAAGCCTGTATTAGGAAATCATAGGTATATCTGCCTTCTCACCATCACATAATATACAGAATTTTATAGATTGACAGTGGCATTAGTTTTTATTTCAACAACAATTAACACTGCTAATTGACTCGGTTTACCATGTTGCTTTAACATAAACTGTTTCCAATAAGCAGGCAGTTGAAGAATTTAAACAGCGGCGTATGGGTTCTAGTGCAGTGTCTCCTCCAGGGGATGCAGTGTTGATTACAAAGGCAGATTTGGAAGGGTATCATGGAACCTGTGATGATGATGGTGGTAAGGAGGAGCTGACAATGATCCCAAGTGTGGGAAGGAGTAGGCCCATGATGGCAAGGCTGTCGTGCCTCTTCGCATCCTTGAAAGTTTCTAGTAGTTATGGAGCAGTTGGCAGGCAGCAGATGGCAGAGGCTCGTGCTTGCTAATAATAAGCCCATTTTACAGTAATAAATTAAATGTAAAGAGGAGCATGATGGAGGAAATAGGTTTAAGAAGAAGAATCAATTTCCTGTGCTTCCTTCGGTAATATTGTGTTTTAAGATGAGGTAGAGAGAAATAAAGAACTGAAGTGCTCTATTCTGTTGGTCTCACTTGTTCTACCTGGTTTATAACAACTAGGCATCACTTTTTGTTATTTTCGGTGTCAGTTGGTCCTTCCTTTACTCATTCCATTTAGAAAAATAGTAATTGTAAATTAACCTAGTGCTGCAGCATTAGGAAAACAAGTACCTACTTGTTTTTCGTTTATTAGATGATGATTACTAAAATCCTACATGCATTATAATTGATCAACCCAAAAATAAAAAAATAAAAACAAAAATGAAATTATATTTAACTGTAAGAACCCTAGGAAGGCTCTATGATGAACCACTTTTTTTTATCCCAAACTTCTCCAGTTAATAATAGTCTTTATTTTGATAAAATATTTAGAACAAAATCAAGTAAAATCTTTTATTTATTTATTATTATTTTATCCCACCAAGGCAGAATCAAGTAAAATCTATACTTGAGAAATCTCATAAAAAAAATATAGGGTCACCTTTTTCCTAGTCAGGTCAATAAAGTCATGAAATATTTCGATTTATTTATTTCTTATTTTACATAGGAAGGATTTTTCCTGGACCAATACATGATTTTGTTCTAGTTTTTCTGGAATTGGGTATTATATTGGGAGGTCTGGGAGCAATACAATTTTTTCCGCCTTTTCATTGGGATTGGTTCTTGTTTGTATAAGGAAAATGATTGATTTCAAGTCAATGATAAATGGTAGATGGGACTCGTTCATCGTGCACCCACCATTCTGATTCTTCGGAACAATTTATCTCTCTAGGGTAGTAGATACACAATTATTATATATATAAAAGCATAAATAAAAAAGGGAAATAGAATATCCGTCAAGTATATATACAAGCCATATGGTGATATGCCCGAGTCAATAAAGAAATTTAGTTGCGGAAGCATTCACCAAACCCTCCCAAAGTCTCAACCACACCAAACTTTATAGTGTGTGCAGGCTCTTCTATTGCTCTAACCTGTTTGGTTTTGTTCAGTGACCAACCACGCAACGGGTAGCTAAATCATCCCCATCTATTCTGAAAACCTAAATTTGGGCACTCCGTTGGTTACCATTTTAAATAAACAATTAGGCTCTCACAAAAGCATTCTCACGTGAACTTGCATCTTCCGATTCAAAAGTGGTTCCTCCAATACTCCTATAAGAAACCAAGCAAAGTATTGTCAAAGGAGGCATAGATTTATGAAATTTAAAATAAAATAAAATAAAAACAAAAAACAGAGTGTATTACACAACTAGTATACTCACATTTCAACACTAAGCAAATAATTAAGAGAAGAGTGGGGTTGTGTTTGAAAAGCAGCTGAAGAATCCGAAAAAGGTGGTGTATGGGGCATGTGATATTCCCCATTGCGCGCACTACACAGTTGTTGGTGCAACGTCTTTTAGAGTATCGAATCTGCAGGAGGCTGAGAGGAGTCCCAACACACACACAGCTACTATTTTTCCCCCTAAAAGCATCCAAAATCTTCCATAAAGTGAAAGAAATGAATTTCACCTTTTGAGTTTGAACAAGACTACTACTCGTCATTTCTTTTCCCATTTTGCATCTCGAAAGAGACACTACTCACTCCTTTCTTCCCACTCTAATATTCCCCCACCATTTCCTTGTACAATTCTTTTTCATTTTCTTTTTGTTTATTTTCTGAAAATACTAAAAACACAAAGCATCTCTGTTAGAAAGAAAGTATATAATACTCTCCAAATATTTTGACGCCTGATATCCCTCCTAATCAAAATACCTCATTTTTTTCGAAAAATAAAAGAAATGATAGACTTTTCATTCACATGTATACACATGTCAAATATCCCAATATTGTATATTTTCCACCTTATGATAGGATTCTCCATCGCCTTATCAAAACAACTCAAATCTCCCTCTATATATAAATATGAATATATTAATTCTAAAATTGTGTTTAAAGTTGACTAACTTCAATTGGTGCTTTTCATTATAATCACATCAGTAATTGTACGTAATATGTCTCTATCTAACCGTTTCTTGCTCCGTTGGTTACTCTAAACAATATATATTACGATAGCTAAATGAAAGGGCCGAACTGTAGTAGGACCTATTCACATAATTGTTAAGAAAAGAAAAGAAGAAATTAAATAACAACCTACATTTTAAAATGATTGAGAAGGAAAAACAATAATAAAAAACTAGTTAGTTGGACGGAATTAATAAATAAAAAGAAAAAGTATTTACATTACTATGATTTTACACTGTAGGTTGATCATATTATATGGATCAGAAGAAGATTCAAAGGATATTTTAGTCAATAGAAAAGGGCATGATAGTGATTCATAACTGCATATTGTATTTTTCCATCCATATTTCACTTATAGAATAGGGGAAATTGCAAGCTTTTAAGAAAGTAAAATGGTATTCTTTAAATTTTTGTACTTTTTTATTAGGAGTTCACAAGGTCACTTATATAGGGAAAACAAAGTTCACAGGAATTTTCTTGTACTTTACTTTAATAATTAACATTGGAATTATCGAGAACCCAGTTGTGCTATACATTTTTCAACATATTACATTAAAATAAAATAAAATAAAATAAAAAATTCACCAAGTGAGCTCAGTACTCCAAGTAGTATAAAAGTTAGCAAGTTAATATACGTAGTTTCAAAAGTGAGTAATTTGCCCCCTTGCATTTCATCTCCGGCCATTTTTTACCTAATGTCATTGTGTATTTACCACACTATCCCCTACAACTAACTTTTTTTAATATAAAATAAAAGGTAAAATATCTTAAATGCCCTCTATAATAAACTGAGGTATTACATGGCCTAAATTAACTTAAGTGTTGTAACTTTTTTTTTTAGTTGGTATTCACACACACTTATTTTTTCTGAGACTTAAACCCCTGATCTCTTTTTGGGAAGTAAGAGACTGCTACTGTTAGGCCACTGGCCCATTAGTGTGTTGTAACTCTTCATGTGGGCTTCTGCCTAGTTTATGTAAATCAACTTAAGTGTTGTAACTCTTCATGTCGGTTTCCTACACATTCTTTTCTACAGAATTGGAGAATATGTATTCATTAAGTTCTTCCTCATTTGCATTTTTATTAATTTATTTTTTTGTAACGCTTCCTCATTTGTATTCATGGTTTGGTTCAGTAGAGAGCGAAAAGACGAAAAATCATTTAGAGTACAAAACTAACTAGCAACTTATTGAAAATTCAAGCAACTGAAATCATTGAACACTATTTTAAAGTGAGGAAGGAGGAAGGCTTTGAGGCCAAAAAAATATTTACAGTCCCACATTTCAAATAATATATAAGAGGGGCTTTGACTATAAACTTTTCATGGTTGTATTATATCCTCAGTTATATTGTATTACATTATAAACCATTTGATATAATCTAGTTACCAAAACTCTTCTAGTAGATAGAAAATGCAAAAGAAAAAGAAATACACATGAACATATATATATGGTCTAACAATAATTTATATATAGTACAACTTACTATAATCATATACATATATATATATATATATATATATATATATATATGAACAGACCTTGGGGGGAAAGCATCGAAAACATATGCAAATGGAAATGAGATAGCAAAAAATAGGTTTGATTAGAACAAAGTAATGCAAAAGCTTTTTTCTGAAAGGATGGGGGTATAACATACAGTCATATGGGAGTGCATTTTCGGAATTAATAAAAAAATATCAATCATGTGCATTACAATATAGAAAGAAAGTGGCTGGAGGTAAAATGCAAGGAGGCAAATTGTTCACTTTTGAAACTATAGGAACTGACTTACACACTTTTATATCATAAAGGAGTATTGTGTTCACTTGGTAAAACTTTAGGAGAATTTTTTACATGTTTGCCTAAAAAAATAAATATAAGATATGACGTTGAAAAACCCTACAATATTATCGTAACACACAAATTTACATTTGTTTTTCAACACTCTGACTGAAATAATAATAAAAAAAAAAATAGATTTAACTGTATATTATTTTTAAAAAATTAAATGTGTTGAAAATTAGATTTAATGGTATTAAAAAATCTTTCACCACTAGTGGCAGTACCAAAATTATATTGGGTACAATTATGAAAGTGAAAATACAAAGTTAGGTAGGAGGGGGAGGGGACCACTTAAAATGAAATGATAATTGTGTCCGTACGTAGGTAGACCATCTGGATTAACGGATGGACATCAGGCAATCACCTTTATAGGGTGTGTGATTAGTAGTGTTGAAATGAGGTGGCAAGAAATGTGGGTTATTGGAACCTATTCTTCTTGTCCACTCATTTCTCCTTCTGTCTTTATTCCCTTGAGAAACTGCGATGAAGTTGCCGTCATGTACTTCCATTTTCATCCATCACAATTGCCTTTATATACTTCCATGCACGTCCCATGCATATCATATGCATATATAAATACAAAACATATCATGCTCATGCCCCTCTCTCTCTCTCTCTCTCTCTGTCTCTCTATGTGTGTGTTTTAGCATATATATCTATTGTAATACTGTATGTGTGTGTGTGTGTGTGTGTTTTAGCATATATATATCTGTTGTAATACTGCTAAATAATTAAAAAGCTCGCATCTACAAACCAATGAATATTACTACACTTCATGAGTATGGCATGCAAGTGGAAACCACCTTAGAAAAATTGACAACGATTACACAAAAAGGTTCAGAGAAATATCCAACATCCGAAGTACGTAGGTGGCACTTTGCCGACAATTAAAAATGAGGACTAGCTTGTACAGAAATCAAAGGTTGTGTAGCTTTGTGCTACTTACTCGCCATATATGTAAGTGTATTTTTTGTTATGAAAATAAAAAAATAAATAAAAATTATGATCAATATGAGGTGCAATGAAGCTCTCCACTGAGCAAATAAATTCTTTCAATTTATTAAAAATATAATCGTTGTATAAGAGGCTGGTTCCATCCCATGCTATATATATGTGTGTGTGTGTGTATTTTTCTTCATCCTCTTCATTGATCAAATGATCGATCGAGCAATAAAATTAACTTTTGAGAAAGTTTGAACCATTAACTCAGAAGTCAAAACCCATGGAGATAGAGAATCTTTTGATGCATAGTAATGTAACAACGCCAACTCAAGTGAACCTTTTGCGTACATTTTCTTAAATATTAAAAGCAATATATATATATATATATACCCCAATGCATGCATATATATTCTATTCAAAGAGCGACTCAATCTATGTACACCCCCACAACAAATATAAGGAAGTTTCTGTTGCAATATATATACAAATTACAAACACGTACTTGAGTGTTTTCTTGTATATAAGAACAACAAAAGAAATGCAACCTATATACTATAAATTTCTACAGTCAAAATTGTTGCGTCTGCAGCCCATAACGCACGGAAAATGGGAACCACAGAAGCAGCTATTTTGATAGCAGATCGAAGTTCCTAAACGAAAATATACAAACTATAAATTAACAAAAAAAATAATAAGAATAGACACTTCGAAGAAGATCGATGATTTTGATGCAGGATGCATTTGCTTTGGGCCTATGATTCCCCTTCTATTTGTCAGTAGAGAAGATGAGCCTTTCTTGATGTTTTCTTTTTTCTCTCCTTGTTCTCCTTTCTTTTCCCTTCTTTCTTTATTTCTTCCAACGTGGGTTGTTGTACATGTACAGTTAGAAGAAAACATAGAAGAAGAACTGACCACAGAATATTGTTTCTTGGCCTCTAGCTGCTTGTTGAAAACAACTTCAGCAAGACTAGCTTCAAGTACTAATGCTGTATAATTGTTTATGTATATATGTCTTTTCATTTTCTTTTATTCTTTTTTTTTTTTTTTTTTTTTTTAAAAAAAAAATTTCACTCCTACCCATGATGATCCGGGTGGTTGTCAGGATCAGCCCAGAAGGTGGAGTACTTCAACCAGTCTGCCTCTTGTGGGTTTGTGATGGATGACTCCTGCAATAACAATGCAACCATATATATATGTGAATTTTATGTCTAATTAGCTAGGATTCAAAAGCACATCAATGAAAAACCACATCAAAGGAACTGCATGTCCCTTGTGCTTTTGTCTTTTATTAGGTATCTAGGAAGCCAAACACTATATATAAAAAAAGGTATCCGGTTGCTATCTTCCTTTTATTTGTAAGGAAAAAAATCATTACCAAAGAATGAGTATTAGTTTAAATGGTATGATCTCGGTAAATGGAGGTTTAGAGTTCGAACCCCTATTGTAAGGATGTGTATTTGTTTGAACTTTCACATGATTAAACTCACACTATAACTCACGTATTCTTGATCCAACTACCGAGGGCAAACTTAATTTCCCGAAAAATAATTAAAAACATTACTGAGGGCAAACTGACTATTTATTATTATTACTATTATTATTTTATTTTGAGAAGTTAAAGCAAACACACACCTATATCCACATGTCCCTAATTTTTGCAGACTTACTCTTCTTTGTAAACACAGCATTTTTGTGTTTCACTAATTCTTATGTTGTCTATGGTCATATGACATCATAAATATGAGAAAGGAAAATCTTTTTCTAATACCTTATAATTTTCTGTGTGTTATTAAAAGAAACCCTTTTAGGACGCTTCTATTATTAGCAACAAACTCAAATTGAATAGTAAATTAACCTTAAAAAATGTTTCAGCTCCATATATATATATATATATATATATATATATATATATATATATATATATCCCCCAACTTTTCTTGTTCAAAGGAACAGTAAAGAAAGTTCTGGTTACAACTTCCCACAGTTGACTGGATCTGGTTTCATATTTTGTGCTTTTTTAACTTTTAAAGAAATATATTTATATGGTCGGTAAAAATAAAAATAAAAAAGAAAAAATGTATCATAATTAGGGAAAGCACTTGTCCTATCATCATGTACCCTAAACTTTTTAACTATAGTAAAATGGTCCCTTTAATTTTAATAGCTTGTGTAAGAGAATTTAAAATTTCTATTCTAACTAATGTTCACAAACTATGACGGTTTTCTAATATGGAAAACAGAAAAGAAATAAAGAGAAAAAGAAAAGGCTTCTAGTGTTTCTCTCTTTAGTTTAAAATAATAGTAATAAAGTGGTATAAATTATCTTTGTTTACCCTAATTTCAAATGTCTTGTTACCTTTTCTTTTATCTATGCTTTATAAATAGTTAATTGATATCATGACACAGAAAGCTCATAAATTTCAGGGTCAAAAAGTTCATACTCACATCTTTGGTATGATCAGATGAAGTGCAGCCCATTATGAGTTCCTCCAAACCAGATGCAGACCTGCCTCCAAGTTTATGATGTTGCTGCTGCTGCTGCTGCTGTTGCTGCCCAAAAGCAACATAGTCATTTAAATTAGAACAAAAGAAAGCATAATCATTAACATGATCATGTTTTGTCTACAAAACAAGAATAAGAAAGTGAAACTATAATTTATTTGTTAGAACAAATGTTGTACGTTCATTCTAACTTTCTCCCACTTCACCGGTCATCAAATAATTAAGATCACAAGTGAAATTTCTTTTTAATCCTACTCGGCTAACTCACTCGAGCTATTCAATAAAGTGATTAAAACCATAAGTGATTCATCAGTAACTCCAGCAAATTCATCATGACATTGTGGTTTTAAGGTTGACTAGCTCTTGCATTGTTTAGATGGTTTACCTGCTGGAAGTTTTGGTTTTGGAGCATTAGTCTGGAGACATGGAAAGAGTCCTCATGATCAAGAATGATGGAGGTGTGATGGAGGGGTACTGGCGAAGAGATGATTGTAGATATAGGGTGTGAAGGCGTGTTGATGTGGAAGACCTGATGATGGTCATGGCTCATCTGATGTGGCCTTTGGAGCTCGCGGATGTCATGCTCTTCGCACGTGCCTGGTGCAATATTGGCCTCCCTTGAAGTTGAAACCTCTCCTATTATTCCCACCTGCAATCCACACCCATAAAACAGTTTAGCTACACACACACACATATATATATAAGCCAGTCCATTTTCAAGCCCTTTACTCTTTCCTTTTCTTTTTCTTTACCCTAGCTATTTCCCTAAAAATTATCGTTTGGCACAATAATTAGCTAGTTTGAAGGGACAGTGAGAATGCTTTGAAAATAGTATCAAAAGTTCCTACTTGGTAAGTTTTCTGAGAACAATTTTCTTTGAGAACTACTTTAGTGATAAACCAAGCAAGCCTAGATCTTTCTCGAAATTTATCTTTTCAAGGTATAGGCATACACTGGATACTAGTACTCTTATTATTTTATTATTTTTTGTTCCGGTAGATGAAGAACAAAGGACACATGACAGTTACCATCAAAGTGAGGTCTAAAGGTTCTCTTGCTGTGTGTGCAAGCAAGAAATATGAAAAAATAAAAGCAATTGTTGAACATTTTTTGTCATTCCCTTTTATCATATGTCACTCAAAACATGACTCGCCAACTGGAGCATATATATATAGCTACATATAGAACAGTAACAACATTTACCAAAAAAAGAATGGGAGATACAGCAAAATGAAATAAGTACGTACAAAGATTTTATTCATCAAATTTTGTTAAGTTATATAAATTAATAACCATAAATTTGTCATTTTAAAATTTTTTGAATATCAGCTACCTAGTGTTTGAATATGTAAAAAAAAGGATTGAATTAAGTTCATGTGCAGGAAATTAACATTGATGAATGGATGAACAAACAAGCATATGATATACCTCATCAAAGGTTTTCCTAAATGGGGCAATATTGCTAAAATTGTCATCCTTGAGTTGTTGAATATCAATGGCAGTACTGTAACTTGAAATAGCAGCACCAACCACAGCTGCACACAGTTCATCGCTCTGCTGGACAACTACTACTTCCTTGGAAGAACAGCTTGCGTTGCCGCTATCTCTTCTGCTATTAGGGTCACCAGTACTTCCTTCACCGACCACTGCAGTACTCCGGTCAGACCAGTTGCATTGCCTCGGCTGAGTTTGATAGAATATCTTTGATACCACAAGCTCTCCTTCTTTCTCTTCTTCATGTTGACCCAAGTGGTATTGGTGCATCACCCAATTGGTTTTTTCGGGTTTTCTATTCTTGCCAAAGTTTGTGTAGAGAACTAGGATTTTCTTACACCCTTTCTGTTTACCAATAACCATTACCGGCCTGGTCTTGCCGGTTTTGTGCCACCGGGTTTCTCCACCTTGCAAGTCACATTCGGTTTGAATTTTTCTTCTCTTTCTTGTACCAGTTGTGTAAGCTTTGGAAGGTCTGTGGAAGAAATGCCTACTCAAACCATCCCTTGTAACTCCTGAAAGAAAAAAGTTAATTGTTAACAAAAACCAAAGTTAGGTTCACTTAGGTGTAACAAATTGAGAGACAAAGAAGAGATAATTAATAAAAACAGACCCTAAAAGACCATGAAGTTAATTATATATATATCTCAGTTTTCAAATGTAGAGAGAAACATAGTAAAACCTAACTCATCAAATTAATTGAAGGTTGAACCAACTATTTTGAGAGAGAGATCTAGATAGGGAGAGAACAAATTAATTAATTAAATATATATTTACCTGGAAGTTTTTCAGGATGAGTGTAACAAATCCCATCTTCACCTTCAATAGTAGGAATGAACTCATCTATCAGAGGGTGAGATTTGGAGTCTTTAGCTTCTACCTTTGCTTCAAGATGTTCAATCAATTCTTGGTCTGTTGGATCAAATTTCACACCTGCAGGTAGACCTACCCAGTCCTGCAAAATCCAGTACTGAAATTCAATTTATAAAAATGAAATCAAATTTTAAGGGAAATTTTATATAAAAAAAAAAAAAAAAAAGAAGAAAGAAGAAACCCTTTAGTTTAAAAAATATTACTCACATAGAATTAAACAGCAAGCATAATTCTTATCTTGTTTGATTCTTCTTTTGTAAAAATCTTATTGTTGAAGCAAGGAATATTTTTTGTAAAAAAAAAATATCAAATCCGTACCGGCTTTCCTTCGAGCTTGTGTCCGCAGCCGGGGCACTGCTTGGATCCACACAGCTGATGCTCTTCAATCTTTGCATCAATGAGATCAGAGCTGCTGATTGAATTTGATCCCAACTGACTCTTATTCATGACTCTTTCAAACACACCTTCTTTCTATCAACTTAATTAATTCTGATATATCAAAATCCACTTCTCATATCACAATTAAGCTCTCTATTTTTGATGTTGAACTTTGATATCATGGATCGAATACACTTCTGCAAGAGTTCCCCCTCTATTTTGAAAGAGATCTGATGTTGTGTCAACTAAAGAGAAACAAAGATCAAACATAAATTGATGGGTATGTTTGGATGGTCAAAAAATCATGAATTTTTAATAATTTAAAAACAAATATACATCATTAAGGAGGATTTGGAAGTGAACAGATAATCATCTGGTTATAGAAACAGAAAAAACAACATAAAATTTTGAAAAGACATTTTATAAGTAAGAATAACCTTGTATTTTCTAGGAAATTAACTTGAATTTAAAACAAGAAATTGAAGAAAACCCCTATGAAATATATACTCAAAAGATGAAGTAGTATCCTCTAAGGAATTAAAACTGTCAAGTCCAAGAAGAAGAAGAAGAAGAAGAAGAAGAAGAAGAAGAAAAAGAGAAGAATCTGTGAGAGTAAGGGAATGAGCTATAAAACCTGCTTTAACCATGAAAATCACCAGAATTCCCTCTACTTTAACTGAAGCCAGAGAGATAAAGAAAAAGGTGCCTCATACCTTATATACTACTACACCTTTTAACTCTTTGTTAATTTAAGTAGCTAGAACAACATGTAGACGGTTTAGGGAGAGAGAGAGAGAAAACAGGATAGAGAAAGAAAGCAGTTGTTTCAAGTAGTCTTGACTAGTAAAGCAAAAGCTAAGAAACGGCCTTCAATTTGCAGCAGTTAGTGAGCCACAGACACACTCATCAAAAGCACAGCAACCCATCTGTATTATATATATCTAATTTTATCCAAACATATTATATATAATATATATAACTGTATTGTTTGCTTTCCCATAGTAAAAGGGATATATCAATATCAATAAAGTCACATGAAAATATTTGCCAAAGATTAAACCACAAAATTTTCAGCATATATATGTGTATATACATGACACATGACTAACCAATACCAATTAAAATAGGAAATTCTTACAATTAGGTTGAATTAGATGAGCACATTTATTTTTTACTCATTCTATTAATCCATGACCCCTTTAAAATTTGTTAATTAAAAATGGAGAGACTTACACACCATAATTAAAAATGAACGGATTTTGAGTTAATATATAAAAACAGAAGAAAGATGATAGGAACTCACATGGGTTTTGAGCTAGAGTGCTGATCATGATTCTTTTGCCATGAATATATGTAGAGAGAGAGATACAAGATGTATTGCTTGATATGCAAGGCAAATGAGCAGTGTACTTGATGGACCACCACCACTTCTTTCAATTAATTTTTATATTTTATATATCGACAAAAATCAACAAAACTTTCTACCCAAAAAATATATAGAAACAAAAAAACAAAACTTGAGAAAGAAGCATCACCAAATAAATTAAGCTAATCTAAACCAAATTCAGGACCAAAAATTAAATTTATATATTGTCAATATCTGGATGCATTAATTTATGTACGGGTCATTCTGGTTTCTCCTTTTGGTCTTGGCCTTTGTCTTTATTTACTAATTTTGGGACATCTAATGTATTTTGTATTCACACACATAAAATCACCGTAATGCACATATAATATACTATAATTAAGAAGCAGGACCACCAGTCAGTGTCGGCCCACCTTGGAGATCTTATATCCCAAAAGTAATCTCATCAGATGATGGTTAAGCATTTAGCTTTCTGCCATTCTTTTTTAAAAGACCAGAACAATTGATGAATGGTCCAAAAACATTTGTAGAAACAGATGACCATCATTGCTTAATGCTCATGTGTATGATATTTTCTTTTGGCAATTATGGAATATGATTCACAGAAATTAATTAATAATATATATATATATATATATATATATATATATATATATATATTTTCCTAGCCTAGGAGGACCATTTTATGTGCTACATATGACTTGAATCATATGTCCAAAAAGAATCAACTTGCTTCACTCTTTTTGTCCATAGTAACGAGAAAAACAAATTCGTTGAGAGTAGCCATTAGGGTTGGCTCATGACTAGTGCAGTCCCGGAGCCCACATACCCTAGCATTGTTTACATGGTCTGGATTATCCCACATGTGCAACTATTATTTTGGTATTTTGAGCACGGACTTAATTGTTGATGCATATTTTGAATTTTATATTTTATTTATTTGTTATTATTTATTAACATCAAACCTTTTGGTATCCCATTCTTCCTTTTATATGGCATACTAGCACTTACTAAAATGACAATAATGTTATTGAGCAAGGTAAATTAAGGGGGGGAAATGTGTCAATTTAAGGTACATTTCCTTCAATTTTATTTATTTATTATCAAATTAAAACTATATTTGAGGCAAATTATATGGGGACATATGTTTTAGTTTACAGATTTAACTAATGTTAGTTAGGTCTGGATTAATTGGTAATTTGCTGATACATTGGTCCAACGTATGCCCACAAACGGACAAGTTTTATATCATATCATATAATTTAGAAAGGACATTTGAAGGCCCCCGGAAATTTACCTTAGCATTCAATGCAATAATGTTAGTACTATTACTACTATATGGACAGGAACATTTCATTAAGCATTACAAAACGATAATTGCTTTGTACTTTAACAAATGTGACCATACTTGGACATGTTTTATTCCATTTGACCTACATTTATTGTAAGCTTGTGATAATCTCAAAATAGTTCATTTTCTAGGTAAATCTGGGTGCCCACATTTAAATATTTTGATAACCAACTAACTTATGCCAAGAATCTACCAGGAATAGATGCACAATATATGTGTGTGTGTGTGTGTGTATTATTGTATTATACTGTCAGAATACATCAATACATGTGGGACAAACAGTGTGTGAATGATATAAAATAAAGGAAAAGGAGCTGATGGAAATGGTTTATCTGTTCTATAAATATGGATACCTATACTATGCGTAATTTACAAATTGAATTTAGTTGATGATTAAAAATAAATAAATAAATAGGGAGGGGGAGTGAAGAAAGGCAAAGCAAACATAGGATAGGAAAAGTTGAAATCAATCAAAAGTGGGTGACGTAGAAGTTTGGATTTATAGGTATTGTCATGTGAGTTGGGTATGACTGAAATCCAGATGCTATTGGAGGAGGGGTTATCAGTATCACGAGGTTAGGTTCATCTAATTTTTGGCCCATTCTATCGCTCTGCTTTCTTCTCTTTTACTCCATTTTTTCAGTTTTGACTTGTGCTTCCATCCTTGTTTCTCCCCACTTCTATCCATAACAAGTCGAACCGAATTCTAATATAATTATAAATTTACGTATATTATATTTTTATATATTTTTTTCTTCTTTCTGTTATGTTTATAATTTTTCATTTATTTACATTTTAATAATTATTTTTTGTTTGCAAATGATTAATTCAACATGGGACAAACGAAGATCAACCCGATTTTCAGCTCCATTTTTCTAACTACTAAACTTCAATAATATAAACTCTTAAAAAAATATTTCACTTCCAGTACCTTATTATTTGCAACGAGCATCTACAGAGAAGCATATGAAGGCCTGGGCCCAAAGGTTAGCTTTATCATGTTCACGTTTAAGTTTCCGCCATTACCACAAACTTGATTTTAATTCCAATAAAAAAAAAGATGGCAAATGACACACAGTATATAAAAAATTCCTGAGTGACATGGAAAGTCAAAACAGGGTCCATTTTTCAGAACCAGAAAAAAACTGACACCATGAAAACAAAAGGGGGCAAGAATACAGTGATACAAGAATAAATAGAGCGTGTAGCTGCTGCAGCTCGCCAAAGGATAAACAAATTATTATCAAAACCGAAGCAACCAACTTCCTTATTTTCCACATCTACTGGGTGTAAGAAACTCGGAAACTTGCATATCCCCAAAGAATTAATGACAATGACAGGCAACGTGTTCAACCTGTTAGTTACACGTTCCAATTTCATTTTGAATGGAAGTTGCGACTCACTGCCTCATAGCTTGGGACAAAAACAACTGCCAGACATGAAAAAAGATGAGAGGAAAAAATTACCACCAAATGCTCATGAAATAAAATGCATTAAAGTATTCTCTAGAGGAAAATCGGAAACTACCATCTCCATAAGATGCCATCGTAAGGGGGGAAGAAATAAGCTTTTGTGAAATGGAAGTGATGTCCTTTAACGTAACTTCATCCACAGCCTTCAGGAAATGCTCCACAGGTTTCCTGAGAATATGAAATGACAAGCACTTGAACAAAGAAAAAGGTAAAAAAAATGGGCCAAGCTCTCGGTACAACAAAAGCTGTTACACAAGTAACATCAGGGATTGGTACTTATACCAAGTTTCAAATGTACTATAAAATGAAAATAACTGTAAGGAATGAAAGTTGTGATGCTCTGAACAATCAGTCACATTACACTTGGAAGAACCATATATAGGCCAACTAAGCCAGAGAATGTTCTACTGGGGAAAAAATATAAAATAAAAAGAATCACATTTCTAATTTCCAAAATACAGAAACTTTATATCTTTAAATCTCTGATTTTCTATCCATTACAACCATTGCAATCATGATTTATGTTGATCCAATTAAAGTGGCCAACAATCTCTTCCATCTTTCTGATCAAAGCCAAATCATAATTCCATTATTAATTGTCACCAGAAACTGCAAGAAATACTATATCTAAAACGAACTTCCAGATGGCAGTTTAATATCTAACAGCGATAATTGTTAAATAATAGAATCTGAATCCATTGTATGAAATGACAAGGAAATTATAATCAAACACGCAATTTGTGATGTGAATGTATCATTCGTCTCTCTGGCCTGGGTAGGAATTCTCAAGTGGCAGGCATTTTGGCTAATGAAAAATGGTGTTAGCCTTAATCCATCCTATATGTTTTTGCATTCATAGCTCTGTTGATTTTTCTCAAATGATATTTCTCCTGGAAATGACTTGTTTTTGGCAGATCGCAGGGATTGTTTGAGTTTGGACCAGCATCTTTTGTCTGTGATTTTTGCAAGATCCCCCTTACTGTAAATGGTTAAACAATTGAACTAGATAGTGTATGACCTCTCTCCAATATCATATACTCTTAACTACAGATTCCATTAAAGAAGTTTTCAGCAAGCTGTATTATTGGAGCTAATTAAAGATTTGAATAACTAAAATCCGTATTTTACTTATCAATACATTTTACTTATAGGATTTTTTAACGCTTTTCAATACATTTTACTTATCAAAAAAAAAAAAAAAAATCCGGATTTGAAGTAGCATTTAGGAGACCCATTCCAATTATGATCGATCAGACCTATTTATATAATCTATTATCCCCTTTAATCTGGTTCAGTTCCCATACAAGATCATCATCCTTGCCCTTTTCCCCCAAAAGAATGGGGTCGGCTACATGAATTCTCATTTTCCATTCTATTCTATCATTTAATTACTTCATCCCATACATTTACCGGCGAAATGCATCTTCAAAAGTGTTACTCGGATGAAAAAATACTTAAAAGAAAACATTAAAAAGTTTTTGGTAGATTACGTGTCGTTCCACGTGTTAAAACATGTTCTATTTTTAATAGAAGAACTGAAAAGAAAGAATGGGAACATGTCACCTTCAGATCTTTCCAAGGGAAGCAAGGCAATAATGCATTTGAATTGTAATTATTGTAATAATGAATGGGTGGTAGTGGTACTATTTGAATGAAACATCGTTTAGTTGAAACACACCGAAATGTTTCTGATTGTTCTATCAAATGCTTTAAAAAATTAAAGGAAATGGAAAAATAGAAGGGTAATTTTGAGTGATATCAGAATGTTAGTGCAAGAAAAGGGAAAAAATGGATGCATACGTTGCAACAGAAAGAAAATTTGAAATGGGTGAACAAAGCTTCAAAAAAGAAAGTAAATATGTAGGAATATATACTAATAAAAGGTCTGAAAAATTGTTGGAAAGATTCTATTGGAAATTATTTGAAATTAAATCAAAAGCCATTTTTTCCCGTTTGCTTAGATAACTAAATGAGTTAGTAAATGCCTTCTTATATCTTGAGATGAGACCAGGTCATACACCTCACCACTAGATCAGATCACTCACTGACTGAAAAATTAATATATTCCTCAATCCTACATTGTAAAAATATAGTTTTGAATTTTTTTTTTTTTTTTTTTTTGGTTTTAAAAAAAAAAATTAAAAATATGAATCTATTATATGACAACTATGCACATAACGAGAAAGCAATTCCAGCAGCATATGTGTTCTTGAAAATGCATTTCATGTCTATATCTCAAGTGAAAGAGCAGGCCCACAATCAGCATCAAAATACACAAAATGTTTTGTTCAAATTTTGCAGTTCAAATATAATTTACCTAGTACCCAGATATAGAGATACAATTAAATATCTCAGATTCATGCAGACAAACAAATGCCCTATAAGATTGTTGTTTGAAGATGCATACTGTTATATAAATGCAATCAAATAGTCGACAAAGAAAGATAAATACTCCCTCTGTCCCAAAATAGTTGGGTAAGGAGTACTCATTACTCAAGCCTTACCTCTCGCCATATGTCAATACTTGTCTACCAATATCTTCCGATGCAACCATCTGCAAGATACACCTCAACAGTGAGCACGTTGGATAAATATGCTTGATGCGGAAAAAAGAACACAGTTCTGAATAGAAAAACCAATGCAAATCAAAGTTCGCAAAATGGAGGAAATTTGCATACTCTGGATTCCAGGTTCATAAGAATCGCAGACCTCGTCGACTGTTTGGCACGATCTAGCTGTACCTGGTCAACTGCAGGGCATAAAAAGGAAGGGAAAAAGAGGGAATCAGAGTTGGGAGTGATGAGAAGCTTGAACCCGTAACAAACTATTGAGTACAATGAAATTACTAGCTACTCTTGTTTTAAGTTTTGTAAATACCACGATTCATCTTGGGTGAATAATTGAATAACTATAGAAATATGCAGAAAGGTTTAGGATGAGGAATCCCCAAAAAACAAATAGAAAAAGGACGGGTAAAAAGGCAAACCTTGTCCAGGTGTTGCGACTGCAATAAGTTCTTTAACTGCTAAATCAATGGCTTTTGCTACAAAATCAGAGCCCTGAATCCAGAAATTTTGAGCATCCTCAGTTTTAAAGGGCATTATTATACAAACAGAACAAAAAATAAGATCCAAAGTAAGCAAATATCTTTCAAAATGATTGCAAGCCTATGATACAGCTTCCTGTGCCAAGATATATCCCAAGCTTTATAGGATTAAATTTTCTTTGTAAAGCTCCAAAAAAGACAATAGATAAAGAGGTGTAAAGTGTTTATCTTAACATAAAAACTTGAGGAATCATCACCATGATCTCCACTTATACACCCAATTTAATCAAGTATTTGCCTTCCACAGTTAGCGTCATATAAATCAAGAAACTGTCAGAAAGCAAAAATATTTAGTCAATTTGACAGATTTTGCCTTTGACAAATGCAACAGGCTGCTCGAGCTGAATTTTATTTCAATTTTTTATTTGTTTAAGGTACAGATCATGTTTGTGATCAACTAGAAGTCCAAATATACAGCACTAACAGGAGGAAAAAGAAACAGAATTGCAGACGTGGAGTATGTGTACTTGTTTTCAGAATTTCTTTTATAGTGCTGGTACATTAACCTGTTTCATTTTGCTTCATCATCCTTCTAAATACTCATGATTCAGTCAAGCAACTCGAGCATGTAAGGGGCATAGCATTACCCATAAATGTGATTCATAACTAAAGTCTCACACCCCAGACAACGAATTCATTTGTGACTGTTGAAGCAAATGACAGAGGCAATAGTTCAACATGTAAAGATTTGTAAAATTAAAGGTTTTTTAATACATGAGAGAACTTTTGTTTTAAAAAAAAAAAAAAAACATATCTATCCAAATTATAGGAGTTCAAAAGAGTTGGCTTACAGTGGTAGCTTGAATTCCGAATATTCCAGTGTTATTGTAAATGCTGTTGAATGCAGAAAATGAAAGAATTTGTGGATACTCATTCAAGACGCGTAGATCTGCTTTGCACAAATATTTAAATCTAGGTCAGAAAACCAGGAAAAAGAAAGCAGACAAAATATAACTGAAACATGAGTGAGAAGACTGGAGATAAAGAATGATAATATTTAAGATGTGTTATGACAATAAAAATTAATGATAACATAGGTATGCAACTGTGTCCTATAAATACAATAACAACTAATTATGTTTCTGTACTATGAAGTAATATATAGACATGGATTTGTAAGTATATCAAACCGTGAGTACATTCTTGATTACCATGTATATGTACAACTTACATAGCCGTGAGTACATTCCTTTTCCAGGACCTCCAGCAGAGAAAGACCCGCCTCCTCCCATTAGCATCTGCAATAAATTATTATTATTATTATTACTTCCTCAGTAGGCACTATGATAAAAGGCCCTAGAAGGAAAGTGATGTGGCAAAGGAACCAGAAATATATGCAATCCTATTTATTTATTAATGTATTTAAAAAAGGAGCAAAGATTTGAAGCAAATAGAATCAACATAGAATCCTGATAAAAGAATAAAATACCTGAAGAACAGTCAATGTCATAGCTTCCTTGTCCTTATGCCAGCCACCGGGAGCTTCAAAGGCAAGGGCAAAGTGTGTTTTCTGCAACATAGGAAAAAATAAAAATAAAATAAAAATTCAGAAATTCAGACCAACAAAACCCTAAAAAGGCGTAGAATGGAGAATGAAAAGGTTTTACACTGAATTGCTACATACCCCTGGATCAGCTTGACAACGAAAATCACCACCAACGTAGGCTGATTTTGGCTCCCCGGGACGAGGCACACTCGGCAGGTCAGACAGAAGGGGTTCCGCAATTTTTAACAGCTCCTCGTGTTCAACACCAGAAGCCGCAAGTACCATCCGAGGAGCAGTATAGTTTTCCTGAAATTATTATAGAAAGCTGCAGTAAATTAATGGAAAACACCCAGAAAAGAAACTAAAACATAATAATAACAAAAGTTTCTTTGGGCAGTAATTGCAATTATACTATGAGAACACCTAAAGTATAAATATAAAGATCCTTTAAACTCACAGCAACAAATTCCTCCAAAATTGTACTATTCAATCTGTTTATTGCAGACTCGGGTGCCAAAACAGGATTTGCCAATGCACCGGAATAACCAGCAGAGTGAAGTGCCTCTAACAGCAAGCCTTGAGGATTGTTGGAAACTTCTGCAATCTCAGATTTCACCTTTTGAAGCTGTAGAAGGGAGAATATCACCTCAATACAGGGGTACAAACTTACATGGCATGACGATGATAGCAGATGCATAACAAGATAAAAAGGATACCTGTTCGTTGACTTCCCAATCCAGGAACACAGGGTTCCTCACAGAGTCAATTAGCAGCTCTACCATTTCAGGAACGTAAGTCTTCAGAGCATCATAGGTGTACCCCATCTGCTCTCGAGAAGCTGAGGCTGTTACATTGCCACCGATTGCCTCCACTTCACGAACAATGCGCAAGTGGCTCCGGTTTACTGTGCTCTTAAAGGCCATACGTTCCAAGAGGTGTGTGGCCCCGGATGAGATTGGTGTCTCATAGATTGAGCCACAATCAACATATAAACCAATTGAGGCCCCAGGATTCTGTCCAACCGACCAACGTAAACAACTTGTTACGACACAAAATACTTGAAGTGGAAGTATCAAGAAGGAGAACGTAAGACCCATACGTACCGCAGATGTTTCTGAGGCTATTTTGATGCCATTTGGGAGAGTTGTTATCTTGGTCTTACCAGGTTCGACATGATCGGGAAGTGGTGGTGGGAGTGCAACATCTTTTAGTGGAAGATCTAGTGGAGGGAGTTTACTGGAACGTTCCCCAGTAAGCCAGCTAAAGAGGCCTCCTGAAGAGGATGACTTTATGGCAACAGCACTTGAACTTGCAAACCTTGCTAGCGTCCTATTGCCCACACGGCCCTAGTCTCATAGTTCAATACCAAGAGTCAAAACATAACACATTTCCACTATCAGACCATTCGTACATAATTAATGACAATGATAAAATACAGATGCTCTACCACAAAGTTACAAGTTAAACGAAAGTATTAAATGCTAATGTCATCAGAAAACCATATACAAAAATTTTCAATAGCAATGGACATCTTATCCACAAAATTTTCCTTCTGCCAAAAATACTGCAATTTTGCAGTATTGCAAAAATCTGAACTGTTATAACAATGCAATGCTAGATAAGCAAACCATCTAAACTCCCAGGATTCTCTTCAAATACTATTTTGTTGCCAACCAAATGGAGAAGAAATGATTTTTTTATTTTTTTTTTATTTTTTTTCATTATATGGTTTTTTATGTTTCTTAATTCTAAAAAATGAAAAAACTTGGTCGTACTTTTTTGAGTAGCGGACTTACTCTTTCATGCCAGTAAAAGTTAACTAGATTAAACTATTAACACTATCAACGTTTCCGAAATAACCAAAGAGAGCTATGATGCATAATACACCTCCACTAAAACAACCGTATAATTTGCCATTGAACTGTGACCAAAGTGTAAATCCATCAGCTTTTTTCCAGCATTTTCTTAGGAACCAAAGGAGTGTTATTTAATGGTATAAAGAGTCAATAGAACAAGCACATATATTTACAGTAAACAAAATTTTCAATTATTTGTTTTACAACATTTTTGCAGCTAAAAATTGGAGTTTATTACATAAATATAGCAGTCGTCAGAACAAGTAGAATCGTTGCCACTGAACATCGATCAGATCTATAAACTAAAAGGATAGGCGAGTACTCGGTTCAAACGAATAGGACATACCTGAGTACCAAATATCAATTAAAACATTAACTATACATACATATATATATGCATCCATATATACACATACATATACGAAAAATATTTGGAACTAGGGCTACGGAGTTGATATTGTTCTGACCTTGAGAGCCATAAGTCGTGAAGATGCAGTCCTGTACATGATGATGATGATCTATCACTCCAGTCAAAATGTTTGATTTGTTTCTCTCTCTAGATCGCAGTTGTGGCTGACTGGGGAGATTATCTGCAGAAGACGACTGGTGTTGGGGCGCTATTGTGGTTTGCTGGAGAACCGAGAACGGCCGAAAGAGGATCCAAACACGTGTCGGATTATGGCACGTGAGAGTTTTCATCAACCAGTTAGTGCACGTTCGAGATTATGGCACGTGCGAAGAATCCGTTTCGTGCGAACTTTTTCTTCTTTTTTATTTATTTATTTATTTTTGTGAAATGAAATAGTTTTGTTATGAACTTAGTCAAATAATTTTGTCCACGTATGTAAGACAGGAGGAAGCAGGTGGGACCTAGAAATTTGTTCAGGGGGACTTTGAATATTAATGTGGTAAAAAAATTATAAAATAATATTAATTAAAATAATATTTAATTTAATTAAAAATTGATAATATCTTCATTCAATACATTTATAATTATTCTCAATTAAAATAATATTTAATTTAATTAAAAATTAATAATATTTTCATTCAATACATTTATAATTATTCTCAATTAGTTTTCATGTGAAAAATACCTAACTCAGTAATATCATTGACAAGTCTTTATAAAAGTAAAATTTTATCTTATTTTTTTGAAAAATAATTATAATCATCCCACTAATTTTGTATTTCTCAATCTCTACAACGAGAGTTCTAACTATCACTCATGGACCTAATGTAGGTTGCAATTAATTTTTTTCATTTTGTATTATATACTTACTTTTTTTTTTTTTTTTTTTTGACAATTATTTTTTTTGAATTGTATGCCTATAAAATATTAAATTTGCCCTCACTAAAATTATAAAAATAAAATAAAAAATTCACTATTGCCTCCAACCTTCTTCTTCTTTTCTTTTTTTTTTCTTATTATTATTATTTTTTTAACCCGTTCTTTCTCACAGGCTTTGGTTCTTTAATTGCTAACAAATACTGATTGGTAGCAAGGTCACAAACAAATAAATTAATATATATTCCTAGCTTATTTCAAAGAAGAAAAAAAAGACCAACAAAAGATAAAAGTTATGAGGACATTTGTATGATTATTTGAATAATTTATAGGTATGAATACAATTATAAAAAAATTCAATGGAAGCAACCAACTAGCTATTATTAGAACAGTTTTTTTTTTCTATTACTGAAGATGCAAGAAACTCCTTCTATTCTTTCTCTCTCTAGAATTCTTACACCTCAACCCGAAAAAGATCCCTCTCCTCTTCATTCCAACTCCTATTTATAGATATTTACAAGATATTTACAAGATATTTACTAATTGCTGGACCTGGGCCTATTCCTCTGTAAGCCCTGGTCACCCTTGATGGGCTTACTCCCGCTCGGCCCATATGGCAGTGTCTTTCTATGGGCTGACCCAGCTGTTCGGACTGAAGGTTGTGTTTTGCGAGTCGGACCTGGCCCATGTCATCCGGGGCCTCCTCAACTGCCCCCATAATTGCCCCTTATTTAATAAGGGGTAATTATTGATGGCGTCTCATCATGACGCTGACGGCTCGAGATAACCACGTGGGGGAGCGAACGGTCAGATCCAGAATCAATGTTCCGGGGCTCGAGGGATTTCTTGCCTTCCCGACGCTTCGGCCCTCGGGTCCCCTTGCCTTTATAATGCTCTAGAGTTCCACTTCACTTCCCTTTACCGTCTCCATCATCAGCCAAATCTCCCTCTTTCTAGAACTGTGCTAAGCCTTTTCCGGTGAAATCCTTCGAGAGTCATTCTCCCAGCGATCTTGCAGTCCTCCGAGGTTAGTTTCGTTCTTTTTACTTTCGGCAGGCTCCCATTTTCCCTCTTTTAGATTCTTCTTGCACTTCCACCATGGTTGTAGATCTGGGTGTTCTTCGTATGAGACTTAGACTTCCTGACAACATCGAAGTTAGGGTTTGCCCCCAAGACGTTAATATTACGACCGGCGCCGGCCTCCTGCCCGGCGAAGTCTTATTCACGAACCTTCAACTGAATGTTGTTAGGTTCCCTCTGCACCCTTTCTTTAGTTATGTCTTCAATAGATTGGGGATATCCCCTCTGCAGGTCAACCCCAACTTCTTTAGGATCATATCTGTTATGCTCTTATTGATGCGTGACAGAAATCTGGACCTTCACCTCATAGACCTCCTTCTGTGCTATAAGGTCAGTAAGATCCGTACTAACGAGCCCTTCTACCACCTCTACCCGTTCGAGAAAATGTCCATATGCACTGACACAATAAAATCTGAAAAGGGTTGGAGGGATAGCATAGTGGGCATTAGTGGGGCTTGGTCTTCGCCGGCTGCAGAGGATTACCCAATCCCGAGCGCCTTTGGTGTCTGCTCTGTCTCCTCCTATAAAAAATTCAAATCCCATAAACATGACTGCCCCTGTGAAACATGCGTTCCTCGTTTTTGCACTTACTTATGCCGCTCCTTGGGAATACCTTGTGATGACTTGAGCTATAGTGTTTGCAGGGATAGGAGTAACTACTTGAAGAGATACGTTCTGAACGATATTCCTTCCTGCTCAGATCTCCTCACTTCAGACAACCTCTTTGCGCTCTCATCACTCGGCTACAATATGAGCAGACTGCAGATTCCCTCTTTTGGCAGGAGGAAAAGTACTCCCCCAGCCACTCCTGCTGCTGGGGCGACCTCCTCTCCAGCGTCGGCTTCTTCTTCAGCCACCATATCTGACACTGTCCCGAGCGCAGTGGCTACTAACCCTGTTGCCAGCGCCCCTGCTGCCAACCAGAACGCGCCCTCCCCAGCTACCATAGCTCCTGCTGCTGCGGGGGGCGGTCGGGACAAAGAGCGAGGCAAAAGGCCTCATCCTGACAGTGAAATCGATCCTGAGGAGGAGCCTCTCATTAGAAGGACCCGAGTCTCTGGGCCGGGTACTCTCTTGCACCGAGCGATCAGAGCTCCTTCTCCCTCTGGGCCTCCTGTAGCTGGTGGCTCTGCTTCTGCTTCAGGCCCCCCTTCTATCCCCAGCTTACCGCCATGGGCCCCTCGGTACACCCGAACGGATGGGACGTTCGTGAAACCGAACGAGACCATGCTGAAGGATGGCCAGACCGCTATGGCCTACTACAGGAGCATGTGGACTCCGAAGGACATTGAGGCGGCAAAGGGCCTTTCCCAGAAGGACGTGTTCAGTCGTTTTCCCCAATCTGCTATGGAGGTGACTTTTATTTTCTAACTCATGAATTCTCTTATATTACTTGGTCTTGCCTTCGCCTGTTCTGACTATTGGTTTAACCGTTCTTATTGTGCACCTATGCAGACATTGTTCGGGATGATGGCCATGCAGAAGCAGGTGGAGATGGGGAACGCCAGGGCCCGAAAGTATTCTGACAGCCTGGAGGTGGCTAATAAAGAAAACGACCTCCTTGCCATGAAGAATACCGAGGTGCTGGTTCGGCTTGACAAAGCCGAGCAAGAGAGAGATGTCCTGAAAAAGGAGAATGATTCCCTTCAGGATGAGAAGGACGCCCTCCAGCTTGAGAAGAGCGTCTGGCAGACTGAGCAGGAATCACTCAGAGAAGAGAAGGCAGAACTCCAACGCCTTCTAGCTGATGAACAGTCTGCTCGGATGGCTTTTGAAAAAAGAGCTCTGGACGAGCGTACCGCTCTGATCGACGTTATCAGCAGAGTGGGTGGTGGGATGCTGGCCCTTCACGCTCGGTTCTCCAGGGTCGGTGCTCTTCGGTATGCTCAAGGATTCCGGGAAGGTTTCGCCGACCGGGTTCCGGATGAGGGACAGACCAGCTCCACTCCGGATGAGGTAGACAAGGATCTGGGGATCGAACCTCTGGGGGTCTATGTCGACCCAGAACCCACCGAAGCGGAACGTATATTTGATGAGTGCCAGGACATCGCATCCTCAAGGATCATCACAGCTCCTCCTACCGCTCTGCCACTGACCGCTCCCCAATCGTCAACCGTGGCTCCCTCTGTAGCCACTGCTGACGCTGAACCCCAGCCGAACGACTCAGTTATTCACCTGGATTCCCCACCTCATGAAGGTGAGGCGGCTGATGGGGCCGAGGAGGCGAGTCGGCAAGACCAGGATGCTGTTGGTACTGAGGCGTCTAGCTAGGGCTCCTTCGAATTCTTCCAGTTCATATCTTCTTGTAATGATGGACATCTCTCTTTTGTAAACTAAATGTTCAATATTAATGAAATGGCCGAACTCTTTTTCTCTATGTGTTGTGCTCTGTTCAACTTATCTTCAGTACATACATATCTTTTCTCTCTTTTTCTTTTTATATTAGCTTCGCTGTGTGTTTGTACGGCAAGTGCCTGGCGCTCGGCTAGAATGCCACTTGCCACTTGGCTTTAAATTTTTAGCAAGTGTCTGGCGTTCGGCTTATAGTGCCAGCTGCCACTTATCTTGCTTAAGTGCCTGGCGCTCGGCTAGAATGCCACTTGCCACTTGGCTTTAAATTTTTAGCAAGTGTCTGGCGTTCGGCTTATAGTGCCAGCTGCCACTTATCTTGCTTAAGTGCCTGGCGCTCGGCTAGAATGCCACTTGCCACTTGGCTTTAAATTTTTAGCAAGTGTCTGGCGTTCGGCTTATAGTGCCAGCTGCCACTTATCTTGCTTAAGTGCCTGGCGCTCGGCTAGAATGCCACTTGCCACTTGGCTTTAAATTTTTAGCAAGTGTCTGGCGTTCGGCTTATAGTGCCAGCTGCCACTTATCTTGCTTAAGTGCCTGGCGCTCGGCTAGAATGCCACTTGCCACTTGGCTTTAAATTTTTAGCAAGTGTCTGGCGTTCGGCTTATAGTGCCAGCTGCCACTTATCTTGCTTAAGTGCCTGGCGCTCGGCTAGAATGCCACTTGCCACTTGGCTTTAAATTTTTAGCAAGTGTCTGGCGTTCGGCTTATAGTGCCAGCTGCCACTTATCTTGCTTAAGTGCCTGGCGCTCGGCTAGAATGCCACTTGCCACTTTGCTTTAAATTTTTAGCAAGTGTCTGGCGTTCGGCTTATAGTGCCAGCTGCCACTTATCTTGCTTAAGTGCCTGGCGCTCGGCTAGAATGCCACTTGCCACTTGGCTTTAAATTTTTAGCAAGTGTCTGGCGTTCGGCTTATAGTGCCAGCTGTCACTT